TCAGTTAATGCAGGTTAAATGATGTTGGTTTTTATTTCCCTGAGGACTTTTCCTTTTGGAGGTTGGACAGCACGAGTAAAAGTTGAGCGCTCACCATGCTCCCCTCTGAACAAGACTCCGCCGGTGAAGACTATCAGGCTGTCAGAGCAAAGAGGATTGAGATTGTTCGGGATTTTAAAATGGCCAAAAATGCATCGCTAGTGCAGGATTGCACAGTACGTTGATATCAAAGTCCTTTACGTCTCTAGTTAGAAACGGACAAGCCAACGTGCGTTCTTCATTAGCAATTAGTTATGCGTAACCAGCTCGTTGCTGACTGTCTTTACTGTAATTGGTGACTAAAAATGCACGTACCTTGCTATGCGTTGAGTAACGGACGGCGATTCTCATGCATTTTTGTTGCTGGTTGGAATCTAATCTGCATAGACTTTTTACTCCTAACAGCTATCACACCTACGTAGACTTTGTCTACAGGGCAAGCAGAGAGGAAGACTGGCATATGCAGATAGACTTATGAAAACACCCAATTTACCAGCAGGCAGTTGTGTAATGATCAGACCAGAATTGAAAATTAAGCTTGTCATGTATTTGTGACATGTTGTTGCTGGGTGGGGGTGGGAACCAAAAAACAGTTGCGTATGACAAATCTTATGTACCCTGAAATTTATAATACTTTTTCAGATTTAATTGACTGGGGCAACCGTATGATTTATATCCGTGCTTTATGCATAGTATAACCATAACGCAATCATAATGCAGAACTGAGCTAATTCAATTTCTCTTTGACCTTGTAACTCATTCATGTATTTGGCTGTCAGCATTTGAATATAAAGTGTGCATATATACTGCTGGAAAAAACCTGCTGATTCTTTAGCTTAAGAATCAGGCTGTTGTTGATATTAGGGGATACTTCACCTAGCTTGTTCAGCACTGCCTAGATAACACATTTACTGCTTACATGGCTTTAAGCAAAGTGTCCTTAGTGGGCATTGACGGCAGACCCTGATATGGCTATATCAAATATAGGCTCCGCTTTCCTTAGTGGCAGTAGGAAGTGCTTCAAGGTTTGCAAGTAGAAGGTCACTCTGAGCCACCGGTCCTACAGCTCTGACTCATGGGAGAAACGACTGGGACTGTGAGTAAGGATGCTGAATTGGTACCTTCACTGGCACTAATCTGTATCCGATAAGGGAAATAATTCTGCTGCTGTAGTGGTGGACGAGGTATCACAAGTGTCATACTAAAAGCTCTTTCTGAGTCCGATTTCAAAAGATGAGTTTTAAGCCCTGGAGCAACCGTAGTAAGACAAATGCTTCAAAGATGGAAACCCTTGAGTTCCCAAGCTGCATCGCATCCCTCGGCCTCGCTGAGCACGGCAACACGTAGGTTGAGACAGGAGGGCTTTCTCCACCAGATCAGTATGGAGGACACTGCACCAGATTTCACCTCCTAGCCAACACAGTCCTCCCTTGTCGGATCCATTAACAAGGAGATGCTGGTGCATTTTTCCCCACCTGTAGCATGAGCGGAAGGCACCTGCAAAGTCACGATAGCCTGGGAAGCCTTGCCGGAAGGCAGCACACGGGCTCATTAGCACAGCAGAAGGACAGCTCTCGTACAAAGCAACATCCTCGGTGTCTAAATTTAGCACACCAGCTATTTTGGGTGATGTGATTAACCTCCATCCCGGCAGCTCAAACCGAACTTGAAATAACAGCCTCTCTCCCAAAGTTGCAAAGGAAATGAGAACTCAGAATTGCACATTTCCTTCGCTTAATTGAGTGGATCTGCAAGGGGCTTGAAACGGGGGTCTGTTTGGGGTAGAAACCGCTAACCTGGGTGATGCATAGGGAGGGAGCAACTTGTGTTCCCAGAGGCCTTGGTCTCAAGAGCTGCCAATGGCTCGCAGCTCTTACTAGCTTCAAAACTGAGCCTGGAGAGTGCTTTCCTGCAGGAGTCCAGGGCAGCCCAGTGTTGACCACTGATATAAAGATGAAAGGAGTGCTTTCCTGCAGGAGTCCAGGGCAGCCCAGTTTTGACCACTGATATAAAGATGAAAGCCTCACTTAATGAAATGCTTGGGGGGCAGTCCAGTGTTGACCACTGATATAAAGATGAAAGCCTCATATAATGAAATGCTTGGGGGGCAGTCCAGTGTTGACCACTGATATAAAGATGAAAGCCTCACTTAATGAAATGCTTGGGGGGCAGGTAGGGAGAACGGAGCTGGAGCTGATGGAAATACTCCTGTTGATTTTGGGTGAGGTCCAGAAGACTTTGCAGCTTTGTTGCCTCTATGAAATCTGTGATGGCTCCTTTTAAAATTGATCCAAAAGATGTTCTTCAGTCTGTCATTGGTGAAGGAATTTAAACTCCCAGGGATATCAAAAAGAGAGAGAAAAAGAAGTAATTTAGGTGATACCGGGAGGCGATGAGAACGAAGCGGTGGCACACCTGCAATCTCAGCCCGGTGGTGAATCACTGGCAGATTGCAGCACATTCGGGGAACTATAACGCAGGCACTTGCATCTAGTCAGATTGAGGATTGAAACTTTAATGGCTGCTGGAGCTGTAACTTTCCAGACTGCAGTGCACCAAGCAAGCCTTTGCTCTATAGAGCAATTTGTCTCTGGAGAAGGATAAAACATAGGGAGACGGTTACAGCAACCCCAAGCCAACCTATAAAATTGCTTTATGGGTAGCTGTCACTGAGTGCAGCCAGTGTACAGTGGCTCGTGGCAATGTTGCTTCCCAATAGCCAGGACAGGGTCACTGAGCCACAGCATCATA